AGTGGCTGAAGCCAACTGCACTTGGAACCCAAATGTCAGTAAAAGCAGTAAAAGAAAAGGCCAGGAAAAAAAAAGCCCGCAGCAATTCCTGAAGGAGCTGGTGTGGATATTCATGGATGAAGGCCCAGGTGGAGGATGCAAATCTTAACCAGGCCACCTGCCTAAAGGTCAGCGGCCAAGTGACTAAAGAACACAGGCAAGGAAAACGGAGCTGCTGGTGCATTGGGCCTCCCATTAGTGCCTCGTGGATGAGAGCTGCCTGCTTGGACATGTGAGTAATAAAACAAACACCTAGTGAGTGCCTGGAGCTGGTCATCACATGCAAAGTCACTATAGCGTGTCATTTGTACCCAAATCTCCCTCCCAGATCAAGGATCTCCCCCTACAGATGCACTGAAAGGTCGGCTGAGGCTGTTCTTTGGGTTGTTAGGCCAACCTCATGGGTCAATCATGTCTCCCTTGTCTCCGTGGCCACAGAGCCACCTTCAAGCCTCTCTCTTCACACGGGGCTGCAGGTCATATCCGGGTTCAAGCAGGAGGCTGTGGCTACACTGGTACCCACATGTTTTCATAGCAAAGAAAACCATTCCAATCATGGGCTCCACTTATAGGGGCACTTTAAATGTGGGATTTAAGCAATCCTCTGTCTCCCACTCGGCCCCTCTGTTCCTCTCCAGCTCAAAGGAACTGACTGGTCAACTGTAGAGGAAGAACTTCCTGAAGAAGACTTCTGCCCAGTTAGTTCATTCTAAAATGAGCAATGCTCTGCAGAAGCACATGTAAACACTCTCAATAGCATTATGCTGGGATTAAGGAGACCACCACAGTGGTTTTAAGCTGTTCTGGGAAACTGCTCTGGAAAATTGTCACTTCAGCAAGCTGTCTGCTAGACCTGTGGGACTCTAGCTCCATGAAAATACTTTATTTGCTTAATGTGGACTGATTTGAAATTGATCTGACACCAATGCAACTGGTGACTGTTTTCGGAGTTGCTCAAGAGAGATTGTCAGGAAAAAGGAGAAGGTCCCTCCACCTCGTACAGAAGAGCTGTGTGAGGAAGTCCTCAGATATCAAAACCTATTTCATAAAAGTTAAGTCTGCAACAGCTCTACTTTGGTTTCCAAAAGCACATACTCCAAAAAAGAAAACTCAAGGAAGAAAAGAAAGAGTTGTGTTTTTTGCACCAGGAGCATGTTTTCTATACCCAACAATGCTCAAGGGACACCCAGAATTCATCCAGTCACTAAAGCTCCTTCTAGAGGGATCTGACTTTAAAAAATGTCATAAACACCCTTCCTAGGAGAACATTGTCTCATAACCTAAGTAAGACTCTCACCCTACCCAGGAATTATGTGCAATTAGTTATTGAGTTCTCTATTTAAAGAACAAAAACAAAAACTTCTATCTAGCTAGTATAACCAGTGTCATAGGGCTGACAGGAATCCTGTAGCCCAGCTGTACCAAAAGATGGTTAAGTAGGGAAGTATTTCCATTAATGACAATCAACAGGTTTTGGCAAGATATAGGCCAGTTCTTCTCCCCTGGCCTCGTATAATATTTATTCATAATATAATGAATCCCAAATTGATTTTATTTTAGTCTCTTTGGGATCTTTATTTTTAAAATATACTACTTTTTTATGGTGTGCAAACCAAGGTCTGAATCAGCACGGCGCTGACCCCCACCCCTCACAAGGGCTGCAGGAAGGAGCAGCATCTATCCATGTGCTGATTGGACATATGTGTTGGGTAAGTGTCTGCACCTCTACCTTTTTCTTATGAAAAGTAGGAAAGGGGTATATTTACTCAGGGAAAGTGTCCCTGAATAGACCTAGTTGAATGGTTTTGGAAAAGAAGTGGCCCAGATGGTGGCCAGCACCCTGGTCTTTGGTCACTCTACCTACCACGCTAGCAGCCCCTGGCCCATGGGGCTTTTTTTCAGTTCTTTGCCAACACGAGGGTCTCCTCTCCACCATATTGGTCACCTCACCTGCTCCCTGTACCATAGACATTTTCACCCATACTTAGGGTCATTCAGGCTCCAGTTAGAAGCAGCAGCTTGGAGAAGCACAGACATCTCTCAGGTTGGAGACTTCAGGTGCCATAAGATGAATTCATTCCCTGTAGGATTGGTTTTGTAAGTCTAGACTTCTACAAATGGAGTTTACTTGGAATAAGCAATTCAGATTGGGACAAAAGGGTCATGTGAGAAGGGAGGATGGCTGGTACATGTGGCAGAATGAGGTGGAGAATGAAAAAGAGGGGTATCTGTATGTGTCCAAGAGAACATTCACCTAATACCACCTTGCTTCTTAGAGCACTTTACTGTTAGAAAGCATTTTCATGCATATGAACTTATTTTTTAAAAATCTGCATCTCATACAGAACTGGCTAGCAGTGAGAAAGACTGGAAGGAGTCCAGGGAACAGTGACAAGCCCTGGGGACAGAATGGGTCTGTCCCTAAATCATCATGTAACTCCGGGAAGGCTCTTAACTCCTCCGAGACTCAGTTTCTGTACTGGCCAAACAAAAACTAAATCAGAACGAGGAGCTTGGATTATATGGTTTCTATGAGTCCCTTTAACTCTGAACGTGGATAATGTCATCTGTTGTAACAACGTGCTCTTGTGTAACTGATTCGAATGTGGCTTTTGTGACACAAAGAAGGCCAGACACACCTTGTAGAGGAAAATATGCTGTCTTAGGACTAGTGCCATCTCTGCTGCTTATTCATCAGCTGTGTGACCTTGACAGAGTGACTGAACCTCTCTGAGCCTCAGGTTCCTTCAGTAAGTCTCATTTTGTAGGGTGGTAGTGTGTCTTAAATGAGACAGTTAATCTGAAAGCATTTTAAACTTCAAAGACCTATAAAAATGTGATAAATTATTATTATTATTACCACCACTACAAAAATTCATTAGCCTTCTAAGAATCTCAGTAAGTCTCATTTTGTAGGGTGGTAGTGTGTCTTAAATGAGACAGTTAATCTGAAAGCACTTTTAAACTTCAAAGACCTATAAAAATGTGATAAATTATTATTATTATTATTATTATTACCACCACTACAAAAATTCATTAGCCTTCTAAGAATTACCTGGCAAGGGAAACAAACAAATTCAGCAGCCGTTACTACTCACCCTGCATAAATCCTGAGCAGGGAGCAATGGCAATTTACAAAGCAGGAAAAAATAGTTCAGCTTCTTCACTGCTGGGTGACATCCATGGCATAGACGTCTACGTGCCCCGTCCCACCTCCCTACCAACCACAGAGAATGAAGAGGGCCTGGGACATTTACAATGATAACTTTCTCCACCATCGGAGCAACAAAAGTGCTCTCTTTACACAGGTCTTTCAAAGACCAATAAAATTACCATTAAGATTAAAAACAAATACAGCACTGTACATAGAGAGGCAATACCTGTTCTTTGAAAATTTCCAAAATGATGATTAGAGTAGAACATCATGACTGGAATGCAGAGAGCCGGACCCTCCTTTGGAAACACATGGTCTTGCTTTAGGTTGCAAAATAAAAGAGCTGACCCTCCTACTGCCGCACCCAGGTCTAAGTGTTGGGAATTATGTACACAGACCTGGACAACAGAAGCCTCCTTCTCCAGGGGACTTGCTGCCACTCCCTGCCTTGGAGTTACTACATCATACATAGTTATGTACAGGGCTAGAAAGAAGTTCATCTAAAAAGTGATAAACTTTTTTCTTCCTGGGCAAACAACAGGAGGCCTTCATCTCTGCACAATATCCAGGAAGCCTATTTTGGTTTTCTTTGTTCTCTCATGTTCCTGAGCTTGATTGGTTTTTAAGCACCGAGTAATGTAGGTCATAGATTTTGGCAGGGAAGTCGGTATATACAAACCAAATAAACTTTTAACTAAATAGAATTTTATGGAAACTACAGCTTGCATGGGCTACATGCAAGAGGAAAACATGAATTTCCTTTTAAAAACCTTAAACCTTTATTATATTAATTTTGGCTTTTTAAAAATACCTTGAAAATTAAAGTAAAGATAGCATGTACTTTAAGGGCAAGACACCACCTTACCCATCCTTTGTAATCTCCAAAAGGAGGAACATAACTAATGCTTGAACAATGTGTGTTGGATTAAGTTAGTTTAAAAGTTTCATAAAGGAAATGTATACTAAATTACAATAACAGTTTATATATCATTATTATAAAAGCTCCATTCCAAAATAAAATCAATAATGGTATTAAGACAAACTGACTAATTTCTAATGAACTCAATGAAATATAAGTTCTATGCCTCATGGAAATTTGGGACTAAAATTAATTCTTGATTCGTGCCTATTCCAACTTTATCCTTGCTGATCCTCCTAGATCAACAATTTGGCATTTCAATTACTTAAATTCAATGCATTCTTTTAAAACTCTAAATGTATCTACATAAAAACAAAAAGTATATAAAGTTGTTTCAACCGACAAATTTAGGATAATTGCTAGAAGTAAATGAATATCTTGTCACCATAATAAATTTAGAGATAACTACTAGAAGTAAATGTCTACCTTGTCAATCTGTCACTGCTTGTCACAATTCTTTCTTTTCTTAAATGAATCACGTCTAACACAGAACTGATAGGTAGTAATTGATTTAATCCTCTGGGTACTATACATCTTCTGTATCACTAAATACAGTTTTTGCACATTTTATTTACTACACATTTTATTGTGTGACATGGAAATGAGTGCTGAGTTGGCAGCCTAATAATAAATAGCCTGAATGTTATCTGAGTTTCTCTCTTGCATTGACAAAAATGGTGACAAACTGGATTGTAATTGAGATAGAGAAGGAAGACTATTATGTCTAAGGCTGAGATTAATTTATTCACTATTACACACTCCCACTTTCCCCCAGCATGCAGGTGTAGCTCTGAAATAGAGAGAACCCCTCTGTCGCATATGGCCCTCACGCCTGGGCCTGTGCACCTTAGCCCCATGAGTGGCTTCCTTGGGGAGGTAGCACTTTACCTTCTTGCACACAGATGGGCTTATCACTTGGGATCCAGCCTAGGGTTCCATTAAGATGTTTCATACACAGTCTCTTTGTAGAGCCCTTCAGCTTGAATCCGTCTTGGCAGTGAAATCGGGTTACAGAGCTTTCAAAGAAAACCCCTCCACTGGGGGTCCTGAAGCCATTCTCCGGGACACCTGGGTCAGCACACACGTGAAGTTCATCGAACCCTACAGTGACAGAGAAAGGAAAACGCTCTCTGAATATATCCTTCTACTACCAAGGGTCTTCCTAGATAAATGCCAGATACTGATGATTTCACACACCTTGGACCACTCCAGCTACACCAACTGCAATGCCAAGAACATAAACATTCTAGAGCCTATCTCCTGCTTCTTTTTGCTGTGGAAATTTTGCTCATTAGAGTTCTCGATTCAACGGCCAAGGCAGCCATTCAAGGAGGTTGTAGCAGCAGGGAGACCAGAAAAGGAAACAGCAAAAGGAAGGAGCAGAGAACGCTGAGGACACCTGAGTAGGGGAAAGGCTGGGAAATGTTCAGAGGAGATGAAATCTGAGCCCAGCCTTAAAGGATGCAGAAAATTTCAAGACAGAACTCTATGGGGGATTGGGAGGTGTTCTCACAGGAGGATGGCATGAGTGGTGGCTGGGACTGGGAGAGGCAGCGTGTTTAGGAAGCAGCAAGTACACGTGACACTTGAAACCCAGGGAGTGTGGTGGGGTGGGGTAGAGCCCACCTTTCCCCTTGCCCTTGCCCCCACCCATAGTCTGCCAGGGGAGCAGCCACTCCTCAAGGCCTAGTTCAAGTCTCTCCTCCTCTGGCTGCCTTCCTGAACCCCTCGCCGCCCTCCTAATCCCCCTTTGCACCAATGCTACAGCATGAACACGGCTCTCTATTGGATTATTTGTTGACTGGCCGCCTCTCATACTGGGCTGTGAGCCCTTCAAGGACAGGTCCTGAGACTTTTTCATCTTTGTGCCCTGCATAGAAAGTGCTATGTAAATGTTTGCTGAATGAATAAATGAGGTTGGCAGGACAAAGACTGAGGGCCTCACCCAAGGTGGACGCTCAGTTGGGGGACCAAGGCAGTGGTGCGGGCAGGAGATGATGGGGCCTAGGTGAGCATGAGAGTGGTGGGGACAGCAAGGAGGACACCATGCATGAGACACTTCAGTTCCAGCCCCCTTGTCCACTGACCGGATGTCACAGCAGGGAGAGGCCTAAGGGATATTGAGCCCAGACAGCTGGGGTGAAGGGAGACCCTTGAAACACACATGGATGTCATGAGTGGCCAAGAATTGGGAAGGTTCTTCTGCACACATAATGTTCCAAAAGTATCTTCAACAGGAAAGAATGTAGATTTCTGAACTGGAAATTCCTGAGCACTGCAAAGGCATTCTATGCCATTTTCTTAGACACAAATCCTTACTGAATAGGAACCAAGAACAAACATGCATAACCCATCTAGGTGGGGGATGGTGTGCTCATGCACTCCCACCTCCAGAGCAGCCTGTTGGCGCCAGGTCAGGCTGGACGGCATGGAGACATGGCAGAGGGGCAGGAACAGACCGTGTCATCTAATAACATCTCAACCCAGATCCAGAAAGCAATAAGGGTCATTGCGGCTCTTGGAAGATTTACCTGGTTTCCAGGTGATGCCCAAGCATCAATCAGACTCACGAGATTTCTAATCCTCTCTAACATGCTAGGCTTGCAAAAGGTCCTCAGCTGGTAGGTGAATCCCCCCACCCCAACTTTCCTGTGCATGCACAGCACTCACCTGCTTCCCTCCCCACCCAACTGCAAGATCCTAGCCGCTCTGCCAGGGTTGCTGTTCTGAAAGCCACACAACACAGGAGGCACGGTGGTGGCAGGATGTCCAGAAATCATTTTTAAATTGCTCACTCTGCACATAGATGATGAGGAACTGTGGATGGGGGGAAAGCCGAGGAGGAAGGCAGGAGGAGGGGATGGCATCCACATCTGACAGTCATGCTCATTAAGGAGGAGCAGGTCTGATATTCATCAAACTGATGATGCTCTTACAGAGGAGAAGCCATCCAGCCTTCTCAGCCTTCCTCCCATACAAGGCAGCAGCTGCCACTGCTCTACTCACCTTGAGCACCTGACAGTGAAGCTGTGTCCTAGCCCAGCACAGGGACACTGACAAGTCGTTAAATGAGGCCTCACATTTTTATTTTGAGGGAAAGTATTGTAGATTGTCAAGTGCTTCCTAAATGATGTGTCCCCTGGTTGCCTTCAGAGTCTGAAAGGATGGGCAGTCTCATAGAGGGTCTGTCTAAACATGAACCCAGGATGGCGCTGAGGTGGCAAAGTTAGCAGCAATGGAATCCGTGATGTCATCGCAGCCTCGAAAGCCTGGGAGCACAGATGTCCAGCACCCCAAAGTCTACGTGGTCTGGACAGTTCTGGCAGTGTGCAGGTGAGAGTCACTCTTTCTCTGACACACTTTAAGTCACAAGGGCAAGACGTGTGCTGTGCTGTCCCCGAGGATGGGGTGAACCTCCGGAAGGCCCAAGGTGACGTCGGCCAGCCAGAGGGAGGAGGGTACTGTGGGTGCAGGTGGGAAACTGCTGAGCATGTTTCAGCAAAGAGGTGGTGCTGACAGGCTGGGGGCAACATGCCTGCTGCGGGCGGGGCCTTGGTGATAAAGGAAGGAAATGAGCTGGAGGCAGATCCTGAAGGATCTGTGTGTTAGCTCAGGGTTTTGACTTGATGCAGGCGAGGGACGTGCTTAGAATGAGATTTGCATTTTAGAACCATCTCTCTGGTACCCATGTGGAGGACTGACAGGTGCAGACCAGGCAGGGGTGGGATGATCACCCCAAATGGCTCCCAGCCACCAGCTGCACCTCAGGCTCAGGGGCAGCTTTGTAAGAAGACAGACCAGCTGACCCAGGCGCGCTCTGCGTGGGGTGGGGGCCAAGGTGCTGTACTTTTACAAAGCTCCCCAAACGTCTATTGGGCAGCCAGTTCAGCACCTGTCCGAGGGCCAGCTCTTGAGGACTGGGAGTTTCAAGACTACTGCAGTAACCCAGGTGAGAAGTGGTGAGTCAGAAACGAGGCAGATCCAGCGACTGGAGAGGGCCACAAGAGACGTTAAAGACAGTCACAAAACCTAGAGACCAACCGCATGGGGGTGGGTTACAGGAGCAAGTTAAAGACAGGCGTCTAGGAGACCTCC